CTCTGCATATATCTTTCATGATATTATAATTAACTTGAAATTATCCTTAGGCATGAGTGTTTGGTATCCCTAGGGATATATATATAAATACATTCTTTGATAAATCTAAGATACATTCGTAATTTATTGTACTTTGCTTACTTTGTTAACTTGTTCTAGGAATAAGAATTAGCTTTAAGACTTTCGAAATTATTGTTAGTTTCCAAAAAGGATAGATTCAATAAAACATTATAAAAAAATTGTCACCAGATGATTGGTACCATAGAACCCAAACATGTAAAAACAAAGATTGTTTGTCAAGTTAGTTAGCAAATAGGTCATTCATAAGATTAAGGATATCATTAATATATACAACGATAGGCATACTCGAAGCATTCGCATTGAATCTGTCACAACAAGAAATATTAATTTAAATAGGATATAAAGCGAATTGTTTCGTTTACGCTTTTGCGTTTCCGCAGATTTTCATTAAAACTGTATTGTTTGACGTTAAAACTAAAACTGATAATTTTCTTATTCTTATTCTTTCGAATTATTTTTACTCTCTCTAAGTATTTTCCAGGAATTCAATAGATATAAAATTTAGTAGATAACCTGCGCAAGGATGCCGATCCAAGGCACATGCAGCACCTAGCCAAAATCAGTTGGCACAACCTTTTTGAGAGCGTCATGTAAACGAAAGTTCCCGTAGAAGCCAGCGGCACTTTGATTTTTCCCATAAAACAGACTCAGCTGATTGCTCGCTGTTATAAATATGTACATGGCTGCCAGTATTGGCTCTAATAAACGAATTTTGAATGAACTAAGAAAATTCCTTTTTTTCCAAAATAAGAGAAAACCGAATTCGGAATTAATTATTTGTTACCACACGGATCTTGTTTGTTTCTAGACGAAAATTATAAATTGAATGAAACGTATGCAAGCCACTGGCCGCTGCAATACTTCGAGGCCGAAAGCAAAGTCGATAACTTGTATATGCTACAATATTATGAAAGAGGGATCCTTCCAGGCGGTTGATACGGCTGTGAGGTATGAGAAATTAATAGTAGTTTTCTACGATGTTTTTATTAATTTAAAAAAAGGAATACTATAAAAATCTTCATTTCAATAGATGCTCATGTATGTATATATATATATATATATGAAATTCTGCTGTCATAAGCCAGTATGCGTAAATAAAAATTGTGTGCAATTATGAATAAAACACCATTATTAGTTGTGCATACAAATAAGTTCATTAAATCTAACAAACACAAAAAAGTACTTCAACATTATACATATTTTTCTTAAAGCGCATTGCAATAACTTTTGGTCAACAAAAACTTGTTTGGAATTTTATGCAAGAATTGAAGCGAATATCAAAGACTAGAACACTAAAAATAGAAATTGGATGCTCTGCCGTGAAATTGGAAAAGTTGTAAACGGAATTAACATTTTCCCCTAAGTTTTATTGAGAACCACTGCAACTGTCTTAAATGTATATTTGTAAATATCATAATTTTTGTATTTAGGTAGGATGCTCTTATAAATGTTCAAAAGGTATAAGTCAAGAAATTATATAAAATTAAATGTAATAGAATATGTATATGTTAAAGAAAATAATAAAATATCCTAAAACCGTATTTACATAAATTTTATTTTTATTGCGTTGCCTAAGGTACTCTATATATATTACATACATAAATGCTTTTATTTTGTATATGCTATATTTAGTTCTTTTTTTTTGCGATCCGTAATTCTGATAGATTAAGTGTCATAATACATAGTTACTGGGATTCCGCAGCGTGACTTTATTGAACTCGAATACCAAATTAATATTCCGAGCATGACTGATTTAAATCATTTTGCGTAGGTATGCGCCAGGCTACGTTCGTCGACATTTTGCAATATTTATGCACATTAATGAAAACTGGCAAAGACTAATACATCTCATTGACCTTTTTAGCAGTAAAATGAATGCTGCGCCAAATTAATGTCAAAGGATAAGAGGTCCCAAGGGCCCAAATTCAGTTTGTCTTGCTTCAAATAAATATGCATGTAATGCTTTGGTATAACCGTTAGTGGAATTATGAAATGGCTAAATGGGTTAATAAAAATGTTCCAAAATTTATGAATTGATTAAAATAAAATGCGGCTGAAAACTTGGCAATACCTACAGATAGGCAGAGGAGATTATATGATTTATATTTTATATACCTATGTATATATTTTATTTTGTTACAAGGGTTTGAAAATACATTAAATATGTAAGTTAAATTACGTAATGTGTACATAAACTTATAAGAGTCAGTTTGCTTTGACTTCTGCAATCAGAACTCGAACTCCTCTTTAGCCTCAAATTGAGTGAAGAAAATCACGTTAAAGTATGATAAATAAAAGGTAAGTTAAATAAAAGTCTAAAGATTAACGGATTAATGAGAGTTAACAAATATAGTAAAGTAAAAAATAATGACTGACGCCATTAAATGTTTTATTTTAAATAGATTCTGATTTAAATAAGATCTTATAATATATTACGTAACGACAGCCCATTAAAGAACAAATGAAAACACGATAAAATCGAAATTCAAAGATTAAGGTTAAAATTAATTTATATATAAAAAAATCAGTAAAAACTAAAAACAATGTGGAAACAGAGTATCAAATATTATGCAAAGAAAGTGTGAATCGATATGCTATGTCGATTAGTTTTATTTAGAAAGCTCAGTGAATAATGCAATTATTTTTTTAAATCACATGTGATTTCGAAATGATAATCAATTGGAATCATTAGGTGAGGTGCACTTGCCCTTTGGAACCAATAGGATACCACAAATCCAACCAGTTTCCACTCACCCGCTGAGTATGGCATCCAAATATTCCAAATTTGGAAGCACGCAAATTCTTACTACCGAGAAAGGCCTAATGTCAACTGATCGTAATTTGTTGACGACCACATCTACGCACTATGAGAATAAGCGACTTGTCTGGTATTGTATTTGTTCTTTATGGAAGTACTTTACCTGTTATGACAGCGTTGGCTAGAGTGGTCTTGCGTTAATTCAAAGACTATAATTACTATTGGTGTTATTGGTGATGGACGATGTAATATACCAATAACCATTTAGTTTTTGATTTACATTACAACATGTTTTTCAATCATTTACCAATGAATCCGACTGTTTGGATAATACTATAGTACAGTACTAATAATGCAAATTATACCAAGTATTTTTCACGATATATTATATTTAATTCTTTTTTCAAATCTAAGTGCTTTCATTTTATCTTCAAATCCAAAAAAGAATATGTACATAATAAAAGTGGTTACACACATAACTAGCTTGGTCTTAAGTAAACTAAACTAATTCCTAATCATTTTATTCTTACTAAATGATTAAAAATAATAGAGATAGAAGTTCTTCGGCTCCTATAAGTAAGTTAAACTTCAATCTTATTTAAATTAATTTAAAAATACATGAAAATTTCTATTTGGTCTATTGACCATATCTTGTTATTATTACTGGCAAGAAATTTAATTTCATACATTAGATTAATCAACTGTGTTAATTAATATAATAATTTTGCTCTAGATTATATATCCCTGAGATGTCAATGTATTCAGCATACTTCAGTGGATGTACTTTCATTGTTTATAATTTATTCTCAATTAGATGAAAGAATTTCACGATTTATTTATTTAGTTATCTACATTAGGGTTCAACTTAATTATAGAAAGCTAACAGTACTTTTACTTTCCTTATAATAAAAAACAGCAGCAAAAAATATGGCACATTGAACAATTCAAGAAGTTTTGCCTAAGGATTGAGTCCCATGATCAATGTCTTATATAGTATGTATAATATAAATTATCCTCAATTCATAAATGTAATGTTGACTTCAGATTAACTGTAAACAACACGTTTCACTTGTTTCTCAATACCCTAATGTACACATTTAATCCGAATGTAAAACACGCAGCTGCAACTGAGCTACTTCGCACCTGAAAGCAGTTTAATTATAGTTATAGTGGATAAATACCTTGGCATAATTTCACTTGCACTTTATTCTCCTTTGTGTACGCTTTTTATTATGCTTTTCAGTGTGCAATTACATTAGCAGGCGTATATTTTCCGTAAAGCATAATACTCGTAGAATGAGCGGTTGGTCATTTCTATAAGTGAACGAGTGCTTCATTTCACCACAAATGCGTTCATGTGAGTGTGTGCGTAAAACTTTTATACGTAAAATATATACCCAACACTAAAATAAATGGACGATTAATATCAAAAAAGAGTGAAGAAAAATCTAGTATTTATTAATTTTTTCAAGCCAAGGCTTAGCACCTCTGTACATGAAATTAGCTCTTGAGAATTAGGTTCTTTGGATCATAATTAGGACAAATGTTTACCAAACTTTTTTCAAAGGAAATACTATCTACATATGTACTCGTAATCCGAACACGAATTATTTTTTTGAAATTATTTCATTGGTTATATAAAGGCGGGCTCCGCACTGGTAGGTAAACCATTTTATACTTTCCAGGCATTGAATCTTTATAATTCAATAGGTAAACGAAATCGAAAATAGACTACTCTACAATTACTATATTCGTTCCTTGCAACTCCCTTTTTTGGACATATTCGAACAAACTCAGCCCGTGAAAAGGGAGACAAAGTCAACACTTCGCATGTTCCTTTGTGACTCTTTCCAAAAGTACCCAGACTCGCCGAATTCTATATAGGGCAATTTCAAGTATAACCGTAATATATAATACCGTAAATAAATTTGTATAAAACCGCAGAGTGCTTTCAATTGTTCTTTGAATGTAAATCTCAGACACGAGCTTAGTGGACTATAAGCTTCTGACTGGTAAGAAGTAAGAATAAATAGTTATTAAATATAAATAAAAAGTATAAAATATAAATTAATTTATAAAACGTACATCGGAATGGTTGGTTTTTGATATTGTTTCCCCTTGACCTCACGTTTCAACCAACCCAGCAAATAATCTAGCTCTCTATCTTTGAATAAAATATATTTATTTAATAATATTTGAAAGCTCTTCAACCAATCAAAAACGCTTTTTATACACATCTTTTAATTTGGTTCTTCTTTTTTCCTCGCTTTTCATACTCTTTGATTCGAGCCTCAACTTCCGGTCTAAAGTGTCGCATGAGTCCCTGCACTGGCCAGACGGCACCATCGGCCAACGCGCATATAGTATGCCCCTCAATCTGCTTTGTAACTTCCAAAATCATATTGATTTCTTCAGGCTGTGCTCTGCCGGTTACAAATCGCTGCATGATTTTATTTATCCAAGCCAAACCCTCCCTACAAGGAGTACACTGACCACAGCTTTCATGCTTGTAAAAAGCAGACAAACGGGCTATAGCTTTAACCACATCCGTTGACTTGTTCATCACAATAATGGCAGCGGTTCCCAAAGATGTTTGCACATCCAGCAGACCATCAAAGTCCATAATGGTAGTTTCTACAACATTTTTTGGTATTATTGGCGTTGAAGAGCCGCCAGGTATGACGGCTAGTAAATTGTCCCAACCACCACTTACGCCACCACCATGACGTTCGATTATTTCTTTAAGCGGCATTGATAACTCTTCCTCAACACTACACGGTTTATTGACGTGCCCCGAAATGGTGAATAGTTTAGTACCGGAATTGCGTGTTCTGCCGAAACTAGCAAACCATTTCGCGCCGCGGCGTAGAATTGTCGGCGTTACGGATATCGTTTCCACATTGTTGACAGTCGTGGGACAACCGAAAACACCCACATCAGCAGGAAAAGGTGGTTTAAGCCGTGGCTTACCGGCCTTGCCTTCCAATGACTCAATCAATGCCGTTTCTTCACCACACACATAAGCGCCAGCTCCACGATGCATATAAACATCGAAATCGAACCCGGATCCACATGCATTCTTTCCCAGAAAACCAGCGTTATAGGCCTCAGCGATAGCGGTTTGTGTGTTGCAAGCTTCATTATGGAATTCACCTCGTATATATATAAAAGCAGCCCGAGCATCTATTGCCCGTCCAGCTAAAAGACAACCTTCTACCAGTTTGTGGGGGTTATGGCGTAAAATTTCACGATCTTTGCAGGTACCCGGCTCACCTTCATCTGCATTAACTACTAGAAACTTAGGACGACCATCAGGTGGTTTACTCATGAATGACCATTTTAGGCCAGTCGCGAAGCCTGCACCTCCTCGACCTCGTAAGCCAGAAGCTTTTATTTCATTTATTATCCATTCTGAGCCTTTTAATAAAATTTCTTGAGTTTTATGCCAGTCACCTTGTTTTAGTGCAGCCTTCAGTCGCCAATCGTGTTTGCCGTAGAGATTCGTGAAAATACGGTCTTGATCTGCAAGAGGTCCAAAAGTTGTTTTGGTCTGTGGTGGTGGAGTATTTGGTTGCAACGGGGGTTGTGCTGGCGTTTTCCTAACAGGTAAAGGAGGAGGTGACTTTGGCGGCTGGGTATCCTTGAGGCGATGTTGCAAAATAATCGTTGTCCTGATTTTATTCCATTCCATTGCAGCCTTCTTTAAACACATTGCAGACATTTCCCTTGAAATTTGCCTACTCGTTACTTAGGTTTATTATCTTATCTTTCAGTATAAGTATAAGATTCAGTAGAAGTTTTAGAAAAGAAAAAATAATAATATTTCTATAAATAAAAAAAAAATCAATGATTTATTTACGTTTTGTCAATCAAATATAAAAGAAAATATGAAACTCGGGATTTAAAAATAATATAGAAAATTAACTTTCTTTCATTGCCATACAGTTTGAAATAATATAAATATATATATATAAAATTGGCGCTTTGTAACCGCTGAAGCGATTTTTTTGTGGTTTTTACGACTTGATGTTTTTCCTTTAAAATGGAGGGACCTACAGTTTATACTAAGCCGCCTCCGAACGGCTGATGGGTTTTTTACGAGGAGCATTGATTTCATGTCCGAAATACACTCGGAGACGTAGACATTCCCTGCCGAGAGGCGACCACAATTCGGAAATTTAACTAAATTTTTTATTTTTAATTAATTTTCCATTTTTTTTGTGCCGCTTCATTAAATTTAAAAAAATATCGTGAGAGATAAGCGCAAGAAGAAATATTTTCTAGATGATATTCTATAATGGACCTTTTGTATATCACAATCATCGCTAAAAAATTATTTATTTTAAATATTTTCCGATACAAATTGGTGAGAAATAATATCAACTGAAGTTCAGAGTAGTTAAGAAATAATTTTTGGTTGAAAAAATAATAATGTTACATTGAACGGTCTCTGGAATATCACATTGAGTTTAATGGGCAAATATTCACTCTCAATATTACTTTTTCATGAGCCAATTTAAATAAAAATAATAATTAAATTAACTGAATCTTCTAATAACCACTTATCGGATGTCGTTCATCGCAGGAATAGTAAGCAACCTCTCTTCATTAGAAGAGGAACTTACTTCTTCTGTGCTTCATGGCACAAATGGTTCCGGGTAGGATTATTACGCTGACATTATTATTGGTTCCCCTACATAGACGAAAATTTGTATGACCAAGTTATATTCGCTTTCGAAAATCCTGACTAAAATTATCAAACTTTATTGGTAGTTGAATATTTCGCTTTCTTTGTGGAATAATAATCGATTGAAAATTAAATTAAACTAAATAGATCCGAATGTAGGCCACCTACATTTAAATGAATGTATATGCATGCATAGGTGAATATAGAAGAGCTTTTTCAAATCTTTTTCAACACAGCCGCCACAACTCCATTCAAAGGCTACGACTTTTCTGCACTGTTATTCACCCACAATCCGTTGAATAAAACACTCAAACAAATTCTACTCACTCAATGAAAATGGAGTGTCTAAAAACAATGTTGAGTTTGTCTGCTCCACCGCTAAGTCAACACTGTGGTAGGTACAGCTTGAATTAACTAGAATACTGGATGCTGTACACAGATGTGGTTTTTGGTGCCCACAGTTTGTTCCTGTTTCTGAAGATGTTCGTGCGAGTGAACGCGGATAACAAGTTCGTGGGAATAAAAAGTTTTACCAGCCCATATATACACACATATATACTTGTTGTGGATAAGTTTATGAAAGGTCGGCGCGTCGCATAAAAAGTTAACTGCCAAAAAGCGGAAGCCACTCAAACCGTACACGTTGTATACTAAATATCACACCAAAACTTGCACACATACATACGTGTGAAACACCCCATCCGCCCAGATGGTTGAACGGAGGCATTCCATTGTCCTCATACCGGATGTACAAGCAGTAAGCGGTTATGTGTGCTATTTTATTTTCTATGAAAAAAAGAAATACATAACTAAATAAAAAGTAAATCAAAAATGTGAATAGCAATGAAGTGAAAAGGCGTAAAATGCTTGCGAAAAAAGAGGAAAACAAAAAATGATATGGAAAGTTGTATAATGATGGCTGCAAAGAAAAGGATTGTGTGCATAATAGCAAACTGAATGCTTGAAGAAGCTGCAGTTTAATTAATTATGCTGGAAATTGAATAAGTGAAGTGTCTAAGGCGTTTCTGTGCAAAAAATTATTTCAATAATTTAAGAAAAAAAAAGTATTAAATAATTAATTATGAGTATAATGTAACAGGACGTGAAAAATTTTTATAATAAATGTTGCTGAATTAAAAATCAACAATACAAATTTCTTTTAATTTTTTTTGTTATCACTAATACAATTGAGAGCATCGCAACTTCGAGCAGGAGATTAGCAGGACTGAGCCGAAAAAATAAGCTTTTCAAATAATTATCTAAATATAATTGTATAACCTTTAATCACTTTCACTACAACACGTTTAAGCCAGTAAGCCATCCAAGCATTATCGTTCATTGAATACGCCCGGATGAGTACGAAGTGATTATTTTTAAATATTTAAAGTTATTAATAATTTTGTTTAAATAGGTTAAATGATAATAACACAATATTACACACTCAAAACTATTGTAAATATATACGTACATTTAAGTGTTCTTCAAATAAGAAACACCTGAAATTTAGCTGATGAAAAATTATATGCGATTCCTCTCCGTGTAAAAAAGATGCAAACAATTCCAATGAATAACAAAATTATTTAAAATATGATTTAGGTGGGAAAAATAAAATTTTGGTGGAAGCGTAAAATCAAATAATAATAGCTCCATGTTCGAGTTCGGAACTTTTTTTTGGCAAACGTGCTCTGAATTCAATTACGTTTTTCAAAGTTAGATCTCATTTTCAAAATATTCGCCATTTTATATCTTCCCATTCGCCATTATATATCTTTCCATTCCGTCAGGCTTTCCAAGTCAGCTTAAAATAAACTGTAGGTCCTTCCATTTGTTGGAAAAACATCGAAATGTACGTCTTCTAAGCTAAATCAGAGTTTTTGTGCATATTAATGCAGGGTGCTCCATGTTTTATGTCGGTATGTGAACGCTCCATAACTTTCACATTTACCAACCGAGCGATTACATCAGATATGTTTTGGAAACGTCAATTCAGTGAAATTTTTGTCATGGATAGCTTGAAACCGCAACAACGCGCTGAAATAGCTACACTTTATATCGAGAACAGTCGTTCCATTGTGTTGACTCAACGTTCGTATCGGAAAGATATCGTGACAACACCATTCGTCGTTTCGTCCCGGACTACACATTCTGGGGTTATCTGAAAATCAAGGTATACACCAACCAGCTTCAAACTAATGATGAGCTCGAGGCAAACATTTGTACTGAAATCGACGCTATAACACCAGAGATGCACGGAAAGGTATAGTCGATGAAGTAGCCACTAAAAATTGTGAGGAACCAAACTGAATAAAAATACATCACTTATATAAATCGGTTGTTTTTTTTTCTAAAAGTTATTCAATGTATACATACCGGCATGAAAGATCGAGCACCCTGTATAACATCCACATCTTGTTCAAATAACCCCTCGCCTTGAATATTGGTTCATCATATTTGTGAAATTTTAATCACTTAAGAGCTAAGCCATTATCCGGCCCATTCTCACTGTTACCGGTAAAGTTAATTTTATTACTTTTCTTTGACACCCAAAATTGAATTTGGTATTTTGGCGAGCTGTTTGAAAAATTTGGCAGCACTGCTTTTTTCGTCCATGTCAAATTACATTTGCCAGTTGATAAAGTAAAAAGGAAAATATTCACATCGAAATGGAAGACGGCGCACAACAAAATTAAAAAGTTTTATTCATTTGTTTATTAAATCATAAATATTTGAAACTAATTATGGAAAATATGACTGGATAACAAAAAAAGCTGAATGAAAACGTTATCTTACAAATTAAAGGGCTATTTTTTAGTCTCGAAAACTTCTTAAAATACGGCTTTTTGCACTTTCTTCTTCATCTTCAATGAATTCCAGGTCTAAAATATGCCTACTCATGGGCCTGATCAACAACGAATTTTCCACTAAGCTCGCCATTACTATTTAACACATTATGTACAAACTTTGCAATTTTAGACTTTGCTTACTTTTACTTGTTGGTTTTGTGCATTAATATTTATGCTTTCAATATTTATTTTCTTAACAAAAATTTAATAAAGTGATTGTCGGTTGTGTGGAAGAAAATGTTTATTTATTTCCTCGAGATGAAAAACAAAAATTCGCAAATAATTTGCTTTAAGCAAATACCCGTGTTCATATATCACATGAATTAATCCCTAAAACAAATATTTTTTATTTATGTGCATATTTACAACCATATGCATATAGGACAAGTACAATACATAATACATTAGAGAAAGATTTTCAAGCAAATACCCTCCAGTGAATATAATGACCAAAAATAAATTTGTATTCAGAGTACAGAGGCCTAGTAAAAAAACTGTGCAGATATGATGGAAATCCAAGTAGTGAAATAATTTACAATACAAAAAAGTGAAGGCATCAGCAGAGCCGAGGACATAAAATGAAAAGTGAAGAGCCGAAGTCGTTATATTTTTCATACATCACACAGCAGGGAAGTGAAAAGGATGAGGCAGTCATTAATTGTCTATGATCAACGACTTATGTCCTTTATAATCTTTTTATCCGTCATTGGCTCACAAATTCGGATGTTATGTAAGTATATAAGTATATTCCAAAAAATATTTGTTAATATAATTTACTAAAAACCAGTTCTAAACATACAAGCCCCTTAATCGGATATAACGGCATGAAGAAACCACTTTACCCGAAATTAATTTCTTTGTTAACTTACTTTTCTTAGAAAAAAGCGTTTCAAGTCAATTTGCTAACTAAAACGATTTTACTTATCCTTTTATGAAGCATCCGACTTCCGACAAAACGGAGTTATAGATTCGGCCATTTACGAGCCCATGCTGATGTGCTTTTAACAGCGAAAAAGGCTTTATTTTATCGACGAAATAAAAACATTTAGAATAGACTGTTGAACCTTCGATGTTATTTTTATACTTTTGAATTGAGGTAATAATGTTTCTAATCTTCCCAAGATCAAAATAGAGAAATAACTTAGGAGAGGTATTATCTAATATTATGAAGGAAAATCTTCTTTTACGACTTCATACGATAGCAGTTGAAATTGACGAAAGAGAAAATGGTTTAAAAACATTCTTCGAAAAATCAAATTCAAAGATTCATCCCAACGTCAAATTTCGGTTTTAATATTTGGAGGAGAACACTTACAACACTTTGGGTCTGCCATCGTTTCGTTTGTTAAACTTCTCACTATCTGGCTAGTAAACTGCTGTTGTTGTTGTAGCGTGTAGTAAAATTGCCGAGCTGTTTCGACGGGATTGGACCAAAGGGAGACGGGGGTTAGATGAGTCGGTTTCGATCTCGAGCTCGTTTTCTGCAATGAGCGGTGGTTTTACTCCGAGCACGCCATTCACTGGAAGGGAGTCTTTGAAGGTGTTGACTGACTCCTGGTGACGCCCTGTCCAGCGGTTTTTGGACATATTGCTGGATGGTATTTTTTTACGCCGAGTACTCCCTCTCTGATGTGCATGGGTATTGGGTTGCTCCATGCGCAAACATCCCATTGGGAAATGCTTGCTCAGCAAAGCATTATGCTCCTTAACTCTTAGCATGGATGCTTCACTGTACAAGTGATGGTCTGGCGACATCAGGAGGTTTCCTATCATTGTCCTGAAGGAGATGTTCTGGCAAGCCTGTGACTTTTTCATCTGCGTATCGTTCGTCCCCGGCGCCCAGATCAGTGTAACATAGGTTACGACCGGCCGGTCAATTGCTTTGTAAGTTACCAGCAAAGTATGCTTGTCTTTACCCCAGGTGCTGCCGACCAGCGCTTTGAGAATTTTGTTGCGGCTCTGGAGTTTTGCGGCAATTGCGATCGTGTGCGGAGTGAAGGAGTGAAGGCTGTCTAGTGTCACTTCCAATATCTTTGGGTTGTTTACAATCGGAACTTTTTCGTCATCGACCTTCACGCCTAATTCAAGCCTATATTCCTTCGTCCAGCTGGTTAAGAGGGTAGCCGAGGATTTGGTCGGTTGTATTTTCAGATGCCGTGCAGTGTAGAAGTGAGAAAGATCGGAAAAGTAGTTAGAATACCAAAGATCGCGATGCGCATTAAAGTCGCCCAAAATCAAACCGTTTTCACCCCTGAGTAGCGCACCTATGTGTAGAGCAGGGGTGTATCCTACTGGGCAACTTGTAACAGGAGGAATGTATATATTAAATACCTCGAGATCGGCTTCACCTGACCGGATAGCTATGCCCTGACATTCTAGGGTAGTATCCCTGCGGTCGATATCGCCGTCGATACTGCACGGTGTTGTGCAGGATGAACGCTAAGCCGCTAAACCCCCACCATGGTCTCGCTTGCGATCCTTGCGGATAAAGTTGTATCCGGCCGGTTCAAAAGAGCTGAGTGGGCGGCCAACTTCGTTTCCTGAATCGCAGCAATTGACAGGTGCTCCCCGCTAATATAGCCGACTATCTCGCCGATCAATTCAATTATCGTAAGAGTTGGGTCTGTCTCGGGGGAAGGTTCGTGATTCCGTTTGTGAGGGAATGATGCGAGGATGGAGTGTGTGCTGCTGTAATGCCCGCTAAAGTTGATGCCGCACTTTGGTGTTGATTGGCGGTATGTTTATCGAAATAGGCGGGGGCAAACTCCTACAGCACGGAGCAACATATGCATCGCTCCACTCACGAGTGGTGCGCAGGCCAGAGCACGTCCGAAAATGACACCAGCCAGAGCAAGAGTTACATCTGACTGAGGTCATGTTCTGACGCACTATGGTCTGACACACGGAACAGACTGTGAGGGGGAATAGGAGCTGCTGGGTAGCCCTCGAACGGGGGGCTATAGACCATAGAGGTCTGTTGGTTACCCATAGTGGGTACGGGTGCTGAAGTCACTGCTGTGGAGACTGGGGACGCACTATGGCGCTGGCAGCATGGGGCCACATAACTTGTGGTCCACTCCCTATGGGTCTTAAGGCTTGAGCAGGTATTAAGGTGACTCCAAGCATTGCACTGGTTGCACCTAACCGAGGTGGAGGAGTGGTGGAGCCTTTCCTAGCACACGCAGCAAAAGTAATCCGTCGTGTTGGTTTCGACGCCAGCGCTGATAAGAAGAATTTGGAACAGCCCAGATGCGAGATGCTGCTCCGTTGGCAAACTTAAATTATTGTTACCTGTTGACCAAAACGGATAAAATCCGGGTCAAGTCCGGTAGGAAGAACTGACTGTCTTGAGTTGCTAGTGCGCTCGACACCATCGCTTTTATTGTTTGTCATTTCGATAGTCATATTCAAGCCCACGTCATTGTTTTCGAACATTTTGCTAATTGTGATCACTTGGTGTAATGTCCTTCCCTCTAGCCGTATTCTCCTTCCATTGCTTATAAGAACCCCACCTGAAATTTGACTATTTAATACTTTCCACAAACTCATATTATAAAATTTAAAAATGCTTCGATGGGAAAATCGTTCAATAAAGTTTTAATTTGAAGACTTTTCCCACAGAAGTGAGCACTTAATCGCTGAGCTTAAGCACGTGAATAAACCATTTTACTATTTTTATTTTATGAAATGCTAGAAATTTCCCTAAGGCGTAGATTCAGTTTTTGCTACATACTTCTTCTATCGCTCCAAAAACCACGGGAGAACATCAAGCAATTGCATAGCAAGAATTCATTTTCATTAGCACTAACGTTCAAACATATATATAAAACAAACGAGTATAAACGTACAATTGTATTTATAGCCTCAGTCCATTTACACGGCTACACAAACAACGAATGTACACACTTGTAAATAAACTATTGCTGCAATTTCACACAAACTTTTGAACGAATCACACCTACATTGTGACATATGCACATACATACGTATTTATGTAGGCAGCAAACCCTCGAAGATTTTATTAAAATCTGCTCAGAAACAACAATTAAATAAAATTATATATTCCAAAATAATATACAATAAAATTAAATGACAATCCTAAAATAAAGAAAAATATTTCAAAAGAAATAATATAAAAGAATATGAAATAAGGCAATATAAAACTAAATTAGTTTAGATAAACAAAGTCAAATTATATTAAATAAAACACAATTAAGCCAATATAATAAGCCAAAATAAAATTAAGTACAATTAAGTAAAATATAGCAACAACAAACTAAAGCAACATAAAATAATATACAATACATCGAGATAAAGTAAAACTAAATTAATATAAAGTATGTAAAGTTAAGGAAAAAGCAAAAAATAAATATATAACAAAACTAAATTAAATTATTTTAAAGAAAAATTAAATTGCTTTAATTAAAATTGAATTAAGAAATAGAAGAATATATTTACTTTACTTATATTTAGAGTTAAATGAATAAAAGAGAATAAATTAAAAAAAAGTAATGAAATCATAAACTAAAAATTTAACAATAAATTTATTAAAATTAATTTAAATGAAACATAAATAATATTAAATTAAATTAAAAAGATAATTATAATAAAACAAGCATAAAATATAAAAACTGAATAAAATAGAGTATAATAGCATAAACATTTAATAAATAAATGAAACAAAAAAATAAATTGACTAAAGGTTATAATAATTAAAATTAAACTACTATGAATTAAATCAAACGAAATATAGAATTATATAAAATTTAAATAAAATTCAGAAAACAAAACAAAATAATTTAGGCGGTCACCACACGACCACATAAAATGTATATTCGAATGATAAAATAAGATTTCACTTTAAAGTTGTAATATTTGATGCTTTTTCGCATCTAATCCAGCCTTATTCTAGACGAATCGCATTTCTTTCTGGGCAGGTACTTATGTATATAGGTATATATATACATACATACACACAATTAGACTCACTGCATTGAAGGATTCTGCTGTTCAGCACGTTCGTTCGCAATTCACTAACCACTTAGCCACAATGTCAGTGTAGTTGAATGAAATTGCAATTTGACAAGGACACCAGAGTAAAATGCAATGAACAACGCAACTGAAGCGGCACAAAGTACGATGATGATGAAGAAAAGACTTAAAGCGAGTACATACATATATACATACATTCACCTACAATGCTTATGTTATATAATGAACACTTTGTGGAAAAGACTTTTGCTTCTTTGCCATTATCTCCTAAAATAGTTCGCAATGTCATCAGCCATTTGGATAGATGTAGCGAAATTTAAGAGATCCGCTATTAAAGTACATCTATACATATCTCGCACATTATCTTCTATTACTGCAATATCGTAAATAGTCCAGAATAGCAAGAACTCATTTGGTATATGCACTATTTTACTCAGTTTAAATTTCACACATTATTGCGTGCAAGTATTCTACTTACATGCATATACGTCCATACATACAATTTACAAATATACATACATATGGGACATGTCCCATATACTATACCAAGGTAACGCACAGTGGCACCACTCACAAGATCTGGTCATCAAAATTGCTTTGAATATCTTCGCAAACACGGTGGCCTATATATGTTGTGTTTACATTTTTTCGTTCTTGCTAAAATATATATTTTTTCATTTTTAATGGAAATAACACTTGTGCAGTACAGTTATCTTTTCGTTCCAAAAAAAGTCATTTAGCATTGTAATAATGACGTGAAAAACACATCTCAAATATTGGGTGGCGATAGCCGAGTATTTAAATAAACAAATTAGGTTATACGGCATTTCCACGACAGCCCAATTACGTATTTCGCTCTCTCAATCGTAATTTGCACTCCAAGTACATGTTGAATTATTTAATTCGCCATAAAAATTTTCGTGAGCGAATTACAGTAAAAGAGGGGAATTGGTTCTCAATAGCCATGAGTATTACGACAAATTCAATTCAAGATTTTATTAAATTCTACTAAAATCTTTCATTTTCCAAGCGTTTTCAAATGGAACAAACGAGTGAGGCTGAAAACTGTCACATTGCGTGCCGTGTGAATGGGAGTAATTCGCATTTGTGATTGAGAAGGCGAACAATGTATTTCACGATGCCGTGGTAAAGCCTTCAACGTCGCCTCTCGGTAGAGAGTGTCAGGCAAAACATAAACAATCTAAGTAGCTGCATATGAGCTTGCGAATTAAAGTAAATCCACATCTGCAAATGAATTAGCATATGCGTCTATATACAGAATCGTAAGCATAACGAAATTTAATGGAAATGAAAAAAGATTAAAATTTTTTAAGCCAATTTATTTATATTTAAGAGTAGTGGTTAGCATTGCATACTCACATTCGGAAGGCTCGAGTTCACATACAGGTGCCACCAATATCAAAAAAGTATGGAAAAATAATTTAAATAAAAATTAAGTTAAATTTTCTAATTGCGGTTGCCCCTCGGCAGGGAATGTCCATCATGTAGGTCCCTCCATTTTGAAGGAAAAACATCAAGACGCAAAACCACAAATTGGAGGAGAAGCCAGCGGTTACAAAGCGCCAATTATTTATATACTTTCCTCTTTCAAAATAAAACCATTACTGGTCAACAGTTTGAAGGATTAGGTTTGGTTTGCTCCGAAATATCTTTCTGCTAACAAGTAAATTCCATAAATTAGCGCACAGTTTGGGAAAATTGTTTTCATAATCAAAACTTTTTAAAGTAGCCACCATCATTATTGTACAGTTATATTTAGTGTGAGGGAAAATATTATATATAAATACATGCATAAATATGTTTGGCGCTTTCTAACCGCTGAAACGATTTTCTAACCTGTCTCCGAACGGCTGATGATTTATTGACGAGGAGCCTTGATTTCATGTCCGAAATACACTCGGAGGATCGGACATACCCTGCCGAGGGGCGAAAGCAATTAGAAAATTAATTTTAGGCAATGCTAACCACTCGCCGATTTCGTAAAATATATATAAAATGATAGTATATTGTTCATGTAAGGCATAACTTATATAATATCTAAAAAATGTTCAATGAATTTTGTCCGTCTAAACTAACTGAATGTATTACGGTGCACCGTAGGCGTATTATGAGCGGTGTGTGAAGCCATTAGCATTCCAGCAGTGCTAACAATTTTCATTCCAGTGCGGTTTAGTTGGTAGAACGTTTTGCCAGAAACATGATTTGTGTGGCCTATAATGCCAAAATCAGCTTTGAGTCATGGCGTCGTCCATGTGCCAGCATTGTGGTTTACGCCATAACACATTCTCTGCTTCCACCGTTTCAACGTTTCAACGAATGGCACGTCGTGTATATGCTGCGGACCGTCCCAAAGCTTTAAGAGTACACTGAATGGTTGTCATCCGGATTTGGTTGTACTGTTTTCTGCTCTGTTCTCCGCTTCAAAAGACATAAAATCAATGATGAATATCTACCATTAAGCGTACATGTGCACATTTGCGTACTGACTTGCTGTGAAAATATTTTCACGCGCTGCAACCACATATACACATGAGTACATACATACGATGAAAGAGTATACCCATGTCAATACTTTAAATCCAAATGTCACACTGAAACCTTCGCCATATTTACATGCAAACGCAATCCATGAAATATCTGCCCTTTGTCTTCATCTGAATTCCAGTTCGATTTATACCAGTAAGGAACGCTGTCATCGACTTTAACGAAGGCTTCATACATTTCATGCTCTGATGCATCCTTAACTTTATGTCCTTAGGTACTCGCTATGAATTACATACATATGTTGTTTTATATTTCAAAATCGGTTATATGATCGTCATCTGGCCGGTTCTGCCAAATATTTTTCAATCAATTCTTTAGTTCATATGAGATGGTGTAAAAATGGGCTGCCTGTTCAGACCTGGCTGATCGAAGAGTTAAATTGTGGCAGGTAGCAGAAGGATTACAAAGAACGAGCAAGTAAGAAAATTAGTGCGCGTTGGGTACCGCGAATGCTCACACCACTCGACAAGGAGCGACGATTGGAGTACTATAAAGATTTTTTGAAGCTGTGCCAACATTATTTGGAATCCTAACCACATTGTAACAGTTGATGATACATGAATTCGTCAGTATTCGTCACCAAAACAATTCAAAGTAGGAAAGTCGGCGAATATTGTTAGCGGATTTTTTTCCAAAGGGAACTAAAATGAACGACCAGTTTTAAGTTAATTTTTTTGGTCACGCGCGCGAGGCAGTCGTGCAGAAGACTCGTGACAAATTAGCGTGCGGAGTGATGTTTCTTCAAGACATCGCCCCCCTTCACATCGCTCAGGTGGAGAGGGATTTATAGACGGTGACCATCCACAAAACAGTTCGGAATTAGCTCCCAGTGACTTTTTCCTTTTTCAAAATAAAAATAGAGTTACTGGGACTGAATATTTTCAAACGACAGTGAGATGAAAGCGTCTGAGGAAACCTATTTTGAATACAAATGTAAAGAATATTTTTCCAGAGGTATAGAGACATTGTATCTATAATCAACTATATTCAAAAATAAAAAAACATAGAATCCCGAGAACCCTCATCACGACCGCCTGGATGTCCTCAATTGACTCAAAATGAGATCCTTCGGCCACCGATTTTGTTCAAGGGAACAAAAGAAGTGACAGGGAGACATATCAGGCAAATAAGGCGGTTGTTGCAACACGGCGATCTCTTTATAGGCCAAATACTGGGGCACGCTGAGGGCGGTGTGGCACGGCGCATTGCCGTGATGTGACGAGCGATGTTTGGGCGCAGCCTGTTGACTCGTTTTCGCAATCTTTCGAGTACTTGGCGATAGTAGACTTGATTTACGATTTGCCCGAGGGAAAAAATTCTTTTTGGACGATTCCACAGCTATAAAAAAAGGCAATAACCATCGTTTTCACCTTCGACTTGCTCATGCGAGATTTCACGCTCCTCCTTAAACTCTTTATGCCATCGAAACACTTGGGCTCGACTAAGAGCACTATCATCATGTATTTTTACAATTTTAGCATACGTTTCTGAAGCTTTTTCGCTCAATTTGGCGAAAAGTTTTATCGCGACGCGTTGCTCTTGGTTTCGGTATTTCATTTTCGTGACGAGGGATTTTCAAGGTCGCAGAGTTACCACAATATAATCAGTTTCATAACTTAATTGTCACACCTCGTTAGTGGCGAACTTATCATTTGGCCCTCGTATATATATACATATAACTGGCGCTTCGTAAAGCGACTTTAGGCCGAACCGAGGTGTGCTATTGGGACCTGTGTAATTGCTGAAGCGATTTTCGGCCGAGCTATTCATCCATTTTGTGGTTTTTTAATCCCTGTTGTTTTGGTATTTATTATTTTTTTCAGAAACGGTAAAAGATAAAGATTTTAAACTTGCCATATCGAAATATTTCCTGCGTCCGATTCACTATAGTAATCGTTCTATGATTTTTATTATTTCTTATGTTATTACTAAACGTCGTCCATATTAACTCAATATGACACACGTATGATATTACCCAATAAATTTAGTTATTGTACTACACAGCTCACCATCCAGCATGGAGACTCATGAAATTACCTGTCTTCCCTTTCGTTTAGAGAGTCCTATAGTCTTCGTGAACTCATCTCACTCCATAACAAAAGATAGAACTTATTTTGCAAAATCAATATCTCGCGCAAGGATTCTCTGCACGTTATCATTATTTTCTCATTTTGGTGCCCAAAGCAAACTAGTTTGAATTATACGCGATTTTTTCTCTTTCTCTTTTTATAGCAACTTTGGCCTCGCCCATGATAAATACAAGGCTTAATATTGATGAGAACACCTCAGCAATGGAAACAGTGGGCTCAACGTTATCCTTATCATCAGCCGCTACAGGAGGGGGAACTGCAGTAACAGCGCCAACAACTTTCACTTCATCTCCATTGTATGGCAGCGCACATAGAAAAACGCCCATAACTATGAATGGCAGAGCAAACAGCGCGATAGATGCAGGTAAACCTGCTGCGAGTGGGATGAGCAGTACAAGCACTAATCCAAATGGCTCATGGACGATTACATCGTCAACAACAAGGTTGAATTCATTCACAAGCACCAGTAAGCTACCATTTGATTATACACTGGCAAAGAAGTGGGCTGGTGCGGGTAAGTTGGCGCAGAAAGCGAAATGTTTTTAAAATCAAAGAATAAATGCAATTTAAGCTTCATTTTAAATTTTGCTGCATATTTTATTAAAAACTGCAGTATACAAAATGAAAGAATATTTTGCGTAAATACCTACAAGCAAATATAGTTCGAGCCGTAAGTCGTAAGAGAAATATAATTTATTCTTGACTGATCAGCTCTGCCTAAAATATTAAGCCTCGAATCAGCAATATTCAATATAGCCATTATATGTATGGAGCTGATGGTACATCTGTTAAATCGAATAGTATTCACAAAATTAAATCCAGTGACGGCTGGAGCATGGACAGTGACTCTAAAATTTTGAGTATGGGAAAATACGAGTATTTAATTTTTAGTGACATTGTAGTCATATTTTTCCATGACTCCTCTGTCCTCAAAAAAAAAAGCTTAATATGAACTCGCTTACTAAGAAGAAAGCTTTTACAACTTCAAAATGTTTCTTCTTCTACTTCTGCCTGAATCCAGCCCAATGATCCCTAGCTTAGAAATTTCTTCAAGAAACACAATTGAACAAATCCACAATAAATAACTCTGTTACCTTCGTTATGGTTAATTCATTGCTGTTGCCAAATGGACTCATATGTCTTCGCAAAATCCTTGAATTATATTCTAGTCATGTTCCTGTCTCGATAGTTTTTAATTTTTTCTAAAAGCTTTATAAATTCCATTGAAATTCACCACTTGCTTTTCGAATTACATTGCCACTCTAAGAAGGGAGAAGTATCGAAAGTTCCGTCTACACCGACCCATTAAGAAGTGATCACAATATATGTATATTGAGAAGAGCAATTTCAAAAGTTGTTCAATTGTATCTTTGGAAGGCAATTTTTATTATTGTCTTACACTTTTTCTTCAAAAACTGTTAAGACCATTCTCTCAACCGAAAAAGATATTTGAAAGTATATAACTTTGTGGCTTTTTACTATAAGATATTTATATATGTATGTTGTTATCTGAATATACGAGTAAGCCTTTCATTATACATATTCTAATTTTGTAGACGTTATTAGTTTTCACGGTTCATCACCAATGACATCGTCAACATCAGCAGCAGCAACCCAACCCGATAGACCGCGGACGTTTAGAAACAAACACCACCATGAACATCATTGGGGGCCGTTTTTTGAAGAGTCACTGAATTCAACAAGTTCTGGAGAGAATGTCGTGTCTTCGGCGCATTTATATACAGAAGCTGTACTGAACTGCCGGGTGGGAATGCTAAAAGATAAAACGGTAGGTTACTTACTTTAGAGAATTTTTTTAATCAGGATATCTATTTAACGGCATCAAACATTGCACCAAAAGATAAATAAACGCTATAAAATTAAATATTTGAATATATAGATGGTGTAGAATGTTTTTATTCTCTATTTTAAATATTATAAAATAATAATATTAATAATAAATGGCGGTGCTTTGTAACTGCAGAAGCGATTTTGTACGAGCTCATCCTCCAATTTGTGGTGAGTGATTTTTTCCAAACAAATGGAACCCTCGCCTTCCGGATGGAGTACACAATGTCCACCAATGAATATCAAACAAAATTTAGGGATCAAATTTGTTTAAAAAATGGAAATTTCAAATTAGAGTCATTTATTTAATGATATTAGCAAGGCTTTGGATAATATTGAATTGCGGCTGAAGTCGCGGAGTCAATATACTCGTAAGTCACGCGTTCGAAAAATGAAATTCTCGGCACAAATTGCTGGCTTAAAACAGAATACTTCTCGTAATAATCCATCAACGTTGGAAAAACATTAAAACGCTTATTGCAGTTCGGCCGAAAATCCTCTTTGATGAACTTTTGCCGGAAATGAACAAGGATATTTTGCAAATTATTGAGGTTAGTTTCAAGAAGTTTGTCGTTGTTCCATCCAGAAAGTCTATATTTGTTTCTAGATTTACAAATGGGACTACCGTTGATTATTTAAGGCATTACATCTCGTGAAAATTAAATACCAACGATCGTAAATTTGATTTTAGGTTACGAAAGGAACATATCTGGCATCCGGGTGCTGTTGTATGTGAATTGAGCATAAAATTATTAGGAAAAATTATGATGCTCCAATTCCTCGACCAAGTGTTGAGCCGAAAAATTAATAAAAAAAACGGCTCGCTGGGTACCTTTTATCAAAACGTTAGAGGTCTGAATACAAAATTAACAGATCTTTACTTAAGCAGTATTCATGTACCGAAAACTGGCTAAAACCTCACGCTTTCGATAATGAGATATTATGCAATGAGTATCAAATTTACAGATGTGATCGCTTGAACAGAATTGCCGGGGGAGTTCTACTGGCGGTTGATTTCTCTATACCCTCAGCGAAAGTATGCGCTCATTAAATTTAAATGCATCCGTGTTCGTATTTCTACGAATTTTATTTAAATAGCTTTATCTTGAATACCTCCACAGTCGGATATACCTCCAGCTTATTAACTTATTTAAAATAATTGTTTCAATGATTATGCCTTGATGGTAACATCATCCCAGTTTATACTCGACCATGTTTTTCAGAATTTTCAGAAGAAATGTCCAAGCTTTGCCTTAACCAGATTAATCTAGTACCGAATAGTCTTGATAAGATCTTGAATTTAGTATTTGTTGATAACGCTTCAAAATTTTCTGTGACTCGATGCAACCGTCTTATTCTTCCGGAGGATATTTATCATCCTGCTTTGGAGATGACTTTCAAAATCATATAATATATAGTTATAGGCTTAATTTGTGTCATCTCCACTTTGCTCTTGTTCTCGTTTTAACTTAGCGAATTTAAAAAAGTTAAATTAAAAGCTATCATATATTCGTATACATATTTGGCTAAATTATAATGGTAATTTTGAAATAAATGCTATTCATTTTAATAATATAATTTTCAAATTGTTTGGAAATTGTGTACTCTAAAGTACTGGAGCTTTAACCAAATGTACCAATTTATGGTTTACGGAGAAATTAAATAGCTACATAAAATATTCTAAGTTGTTTCGCAAGTACTTTGAACTTAACAAAATACGGTTACAACGCTTACATAATTAAGATTAAAGAGAACATTGTACGTAATCCCAAGATTTTTTAAGATTTCGTTAACTTCAAACGGCAAAGTCTCTTTGTTTCCGTCCACCATGACATAAAAAACTACTACATCAAGTGACTTTCATAATATCTCGAATATATATGCACAATTTTTCAAATCCAATTTCTCGACATGTTGACAGTATGCTTCTTTAAATATTCCGCTGAAAACTTGTACCAGCCTTTATCGAACCTCTTTAATACATCCCTAAAACAAAGTCTTTTGCCCTTGTTATGGAAAGGATCGTATAAGAATGGTAGTGGATCATTTGAATCGTAAATATATCTGTTATACCAAAACTGTTCGAAGCAATAATTACGTCCCAATTAAATTATTCCATATTTCAATTAATTTCCAATTCCAAATATGGGTTTTGCAAAAGAAGATCTATCGTAACTAGTTTGCTTGAATCGATTAAAATTGGTTTAAAGAAAACAATAATTCTGATGTTATATATACAGACTTTCATAAAGCGTTTTATAGAGTGAATCATCGATACTTGTTATAAAACTAGATCTTCATGGATTTTAGCGTATCCTTCTTCAATGGCTATCATATTATCGCTGTAACACAACGTAAAGAGTTTTAGTTAGACATTCCTCCTCGGACATAGTTGATGAAACCTCAAGTGTTCCGCCAGGCAGCCATCTGGGTCTGATTATATTCTAGTTGTTTTATAATGATTTATCTTCGGTCATAAAATATTCAAAAGTTCTATTGTACGCAGGTGATGTAAAATACAATTACGAATTAACGACCACCGCAAATGTTTTAAGGATTATGATTTTAGGACATTCACTGGAAACACAGGTCTTTTAATTGGAAAGGTGCCTCTGCTCAAGAAATACAATTGACGGGAGAAGGTGCGTCCGAGCCGTTCGATACTAAACAATTCCTTATCGTGTGACTTCTTTAATTTGTTGCTGGAGGAAATAATGCGAGCTGCAGAGATGAATAGGAAGATACAAGGATATTGGCATTATTGGCCTAAACAACCATGCCATGAGTTCTGCTTTCTCCAGACTTTTTTTTTATACACAATTCATTTATTTACTGGATCTGCTATAATATAAGCCTAACAGTAAGTGTACAAATCATAAAAACTAAATTACAAACATGATGGCTCGAGTTATTTAACTCTCAACATTCTCCAGACTTGATAAAGAAGCGAAGCGAATGGGTCTGGTAATGAACGAGGGCAAGACGAAATATCTCCTGTCATCGAACAAACAGTCATCGCACTCGCAACTCTGGCTCCCACGTCACTGTTGACAGTCATAACTTCGAGGTCGTAGATAATTTCGTCTATCCAGGAACCAGCGTCAACACCAATAATAATGTCAGCCTTGAAATCCAGCGCGGAATCACTCTTGCCAACAGTCAAACTCTGCCAAAAATCAAACTCTGCAAGTCCCTCATCGTTCCCGTCCTGATATATGGTCCGGAAGCATGGAGGATAACAACACCTGATGAGTCGGCGTTAAGAGTCTTCGAAAGAAAAGTTTTACGAGCGATTAATGGTTCTTTGCGCATAGGCAACGGAGAGTTACGTAGACGATGGAACGATGACCTGTACGAGCTGTACAAATTGAGTCGGCTATAATCGCGTAAGCCACCTTTGGACCTATTATTATTATAATTTCCACTAATTGATTATATTTGTAATCATTGTCTATTGTAAAAAAAAACTGTTCGAATCTTTTTTAGCCATGAAACATCTTCCGAAGCTAAAGCTAACAACAAATACCTCATAAATTTTTTTTAGATTGATTTTATGATATGTATATTGATGTTTATACATTCAAATAAGGAAAAATGAATATGTCCACTTAGTCACAGCAAAGAAGCATACTTGGAGAGAGAATGCTATGAAACGTTGTTAAGTAAGTCTAAAACAGAGATCTTCCCCAAAAACATAATTAAAAATGAAAGAAATGTATTTAAGTAGCTGCGATCCTTCCGGCTTACCCAAAAACGTTTTCGTCCTAATCTTAGAAATGCGCTGTTTGTAATTCGCTGGCCAATGCATAACGGGAACGTGGAAGAAAGCGTTGTTCACTTCACAAGTGTTTTACATTCTGCTTTCGGAAGATTTGTTGCTATAACTAATAAACCGTCCCGTGCTCAAAATGCTTTATGGTTTAATAAAGAATTACAAAGTTTGAAACATAAGAAGTCCTGATTATTCTCTATAAAAAGTCCAGCAAAATTTCTGATTATTGTGCTTATTATGTAGTTAGAAAAAAATATAATATTCTGAATAAATCGTGTTACAAGAAGTATATGACAAGAATTCAAAATAACATTACTTGAAATCTGAAGACATTGATGATGTTATTGTTGCTTATCACAATCTTAATGCCCTAACTCACAGCTTATTCACATGCGGTCCGGACAAGTTGAACAAGCTACGGACTTCATTGATTGAGGTGTCACAATGGACGCTAATCTAGATATTAAAAATCATATAAATGCTTGTGCTAATAAGGCAAAAGGAGTTTTAGCTTTCGTTCAGTTGTGTGGAGTCAATTGTACAAATCAATTCCTACTATCGCGTTAAGAAATTCAAGCTGGGAATAAGAACTTGTCTTGCTGTCTACACTCCAACTTTACCATCCCTTTAAGATCACCCAGACATTTTGTGTGCATTCAGAACAAACTTAAAAATGCACGACCCTCTTAGATCTTTGTGTATTTTCTGTATCAAAAAATACTTACTGAGGGTTTTGCTTCTCCATTTTCTCATGTAATCTTATAGAAGCTGACGAACAAATCTGTAGCTGTTTAGTGTAAGAGGCAAGTGTAAACGCGACCTTCTGCGGTCGGTTTCGGATTCAGGGCAGTCCGGACTGTGACTGGTTTTCGGTCACCGATATGTTGGACTTTTCGATTATGCTTCAGACGCGTCCCTCGATGGTCGGTTGGGCGGAAGTTCGTCGCTGGGTTCGTCGTAAAAAAAGCACCTTATTTTTTTCCACCGTCGAGTGTACACTTAATTTTTACTGAAACTTCTTTGCAGTGACCTGCTAAACATGGTTAAGCGCATTAGGACTTCGATCATTATAGTGCGTGAAGATTTCACTGAAATCACTTTACTTGTGAGAGCAAAACATAATTGAGTGCACTAAAACTTTTCTTAATAAGTCTAAAACAAAGATCTTT